ATATGGCATCAACATTTGGGGCATCCAACGTTCAAGACTTTTCAATCTTTTTTGTCAAAGTCTAGTTTGCCTATTTCTAATTCTGTTCAGCAACTGTTTTGCTCGAATTGTGTTTTAGGCAAGTGTGCTAAATTGCCATTTCAGAATTCTATATGTACTACCTCTAGAAGCTTAGAACTTGTTCATGCAGATGTTTGGGGTCCAGCTCTTATATGTTATATCAGTGGCTACAGATTCTATGTCATCTTTGTCAATGACTTTACAAAATATACATGGTTGTATCCACTGAAACATAAATCAGATGTCTTTCATGTTTTTGTCCAATTTCAAGCTCTTGTTGAGAATATTTATGGTCACAAAATTGGTACACTACGATCTGATTCAGGGGGTGAGTTTATCAGTTCTCGGTTCAGAAATCATTTTTCCTCTCATGGTATTCAACAACATCTAAGTTGTCCATACACACCTTAACCAAATGGTTGTGCTGAGAGAAGCACATGCATATTATGGAAACTGCTAGGACTCTTTTGATTGCCTCCAAGGTTCCTTATCAGTTTTGGGTGGAGGCCTTCCTCACTGCAGTCTACCTTATTAATAGATTGCCTCCATCTCATAAAGCATCTCCATGGGAACAAATTTTTCACAAAGCTCCTGATTTTACAACTTTAAGGGTGTTTGGCTACAGATGCTTTCCCTGGCTCAAACCCTATTCTACTTTGAAATTGGAACCTAAGAGTAAATTGCGTGTATTCATTGGTTACAGCTTGGTTCACAAAGGTTACAGGTGTTTAGATCATTCTACAAACATGGAATGTGTCTTTCGACATGTTCATTTTGATGAACACACTTTTCCTTTCCATGATATCACCAAGCCCTAACCATCCACTATTTCCAATACCACACCTTCACTAACTTCCTCTTTCTCTCCAATATTCCCAAATCTTTATCCTTCACCCTCTCATTCTATCAACTCCACACCAACTATTAATCCCAATCCCACTGGGTCATTATCAAATTCACTACCAAATTCACCTTCAATCTCACCTTCTATATCAACCTCACTACCAAATTCACCTTCAATCTCAACCTCACCTACTATTTCAGCTCCTATTTCTCAATCTCTACCTATCACCTCAATTCATCCTATGCAAACAAGGTCCAAATCAGGTATTTTTAAACCAAAGGCCTTCATAACAACCAAACACCATGTGTCTTCTCACTTAGACAGTGAGTTTGTTCCTTCTACATATCTTCAGGCATCAAAATATCCTCATTGGCGAGCTGCAATGTAGGATGAGTTCAATGCTTTACAAAATACTAGAACTTGGAACCTTGTTTCTCCTACATCTATACATAATTTGGTTGGTTGCAAATGGGTGTTTCAGATCAAAAGAAAGTCCTGATGGCTCTATGGATAGGTACAAGGCCCGTCTTGTTGCCAAGGGCTATAACCAACAAGAGGGTATTGACAATAGTGATATCTTCAGTCTAGTTGCCAAACCTATGACTATAAGGATATTGTCTACTCTTGCACTGCAATCTAATTGGTTCTTACATCAGTTAGATGTAAGCAATGCCTTTTTACATGGCTATCTGAAAGAAAATGTTTATATGGTCCAGCCTCCAGGATTTGTTCATCAAGACAATCCTCATCATGTTTGCCATCTTCAAAAGTCTCTTTAAGGTCTCAAACAAGCTCTCTAAGCTTGATATGAAAAGCTTTAAGTAGCACTGTTTTCTATTGGATTTTAAGTATCTCACTCTAATCACAGTGTGTTCATTCTTCACAAACCTGTTCTTGTTCTAGTACTGGTTTATGTTCATGATATTATAGTAACAAAACCTTCTTCCATTACCTATCAAGCTGTTATTGATCAACTCAATGCTCAATTTCCTGTCAATGGCCTAGGAGACTTGCATTACTTTCTCGAATTGGAAGTGAAGAGATCATCTTCAGGGATATTCATCAGTCAATCTAAATATATCATGGATCTTCTCAAAAGGTCAAGCATGGATGGTGTAAAGCCATGTTCTACTCCACTTGGTTTTGCCAAATTGGATCTCACAGGTTCTTTGATGTCTAATCCAGAGGAATGTCACTCTATTGTTGGAGCATTACAATACTTAACTTGGACTAGACCAGATTTGTCTTATGCAGTTAATTGGGCATGTCAATTTCTGCATTCTCCTCGAGAACCTCATTTTCAAGCAGTAAAACGCATACTCAGATATCTCAAGGGCACACTTGACCATGGTCTTTGGTTTCCAAAAACCACAGCTCCTCTTACACTTAAGGCCTTTTTGGATGCTGATTGGGCTGGTTGTTCTTGGGATAGACGATCTACGGGTGGTTTCTGTATCTTTCTTGGTATTCGAAGCTCTACTGAAGCTGAATATAGATCCTGGCTCACTGCTGTTGAAATAACCTGGAATTGCCAACTTTTCATTGATATAGGCTTTAAGTTGCCTTCTCTGCCTCATATTTGGTGTGATAATGTTATCATTATTGCATTAGCCTTTAATCCAGTGTTTCATGCTAGAACAAAACACGTCGAAATTGATTATCATTATATCCGGGAATTGGTAACAATCTAAATTTCTCAAAGTCCAGTTTGTATGCAGTCAGGATCAATTAGCAGATATCTATACAAAGTCTCTTCCTAGACAACGTTATCTTCTTCTTAAATCCAAGCTTTCACTTTAACCTTCTCTGTTTAGCTTGAGGGGGTGTGAAGAGAAAGTTACTACAGTAAATTGTAGTGATAATAACCACAAGTCAAATGTTAGTTAGGTTGCTACTCAGTTTGTTAGGAAAGTTACCATTGTATATTTTTTACTTTTACCTCTTTTACTTTTCTAAAGTGTAAGTATAAATAGCCTCATGTAACTTATCATTATTCAATCGATGAAATATTAGCATTCTCAATACATGGGACCTTCCCTAATGAGCGAGTGTCAAGTGCGTCACCTTTGTCGGAAAGACTGGTTCTTGAGATTTACCCAAGCCTAGAAAACTTGTGCCACACTTCATCAAAGTGTTGGCGTGACCTCCGGCCAAGTCCCACCGGGTTCATGTCTTCCAAATCCAATCCCAACTGCTTCTGCTCCTGCTGCTCTTGGATTTGATTAATAGGGGAATCACTTTTCTCCTCAGCAGAAGCAAAACCAACTGTTTTATTCTTGGTTTTGGTTTTCTTGCTACAGACGCCACTGGGAATCAGCAACGAGCGATTTGCGGTGGCAATTGTGAAGTTTTGGGAGTTGGGTTTTGGGATTAGGAGGGAAATGGGCCTCCAGCACCTTTGGCTCTGCCCTTGGTAATGGTGGGTAATGCTATTATTGCTATTGCCGCTGCTCCTGTTACTCAAATTGGCGCTACTGACGGCTTTAGTGACGATCATCGTGGCTTTAGCGCCAAGAAAAACAATCACAACAACTAGAGCCGTTAGTTTGTGAATATTTAGAATCTGGTTTTGCTGTTAATTAAATTCTATTTTGTTAATGGATAGTTGATTTTTTTAATTTGGTGTGAAAAGAAATGAATAAATAGTTGGAAAATGGGAAAATGAATGGTTGGAGTGTTGAGTTTGACATAGCAGACAGACATACCACATAGGGGAAAAGGATCTGGAGAGGATCCCATAATATCCACAACACGTAATTTGAGGTTTGAAAAGAGAGTGACAGTCATGAGACGAAACGTGCCACATAGAGGACCCTTGCCCCCTTCATTAAGATCATCTCCAACCCTTAAACTAAAACCTAAAATTTTTAGCCCGGAGAATTTAGGTTTTAGCCCAGAAACAAGCTTTTCTGCTCCAACTCTTCTAGCCTAAATTTTTTAGCCTAAGATTATTAAAGAACAAATTTGGGCTAATTTTTTCTTTTAAAGTAATTCTTTTAAAAAAAAAAATGTATGTACATTGTCATAATTTAATTTTATGAACATTTTAACCTAAAGATATTTAAATTCCGATAAATATTGAAAAATCAATAAATTTGGGTGAATTTTGAGTTAAATAATTTTTTTTTAATTATTTTAACCGTTGGATTTAAATTTGGGCCGTTAGATTTGATTATATTCGATCTCAACCGTTGGATTCAATAAATCCTGTGAGACATGCCCATGTGGGTGGGGTTCCGCTGGTGGTGCCTACACCATTTTCTAGGCTAAATCCTGAGGGAAATTTAGCTTTTGTTTGGCTTTTAGCTTTTAACCCACACATTTAGCATGGATTGGGTTGGTTTTTTTTTTTTTTTTTTTTTTTTTGGGGGGGGGGGGTGGATGAGGGAATAAAACCTAAAAAATAGCATTTAGCACAGGGTTGGGTTTGGTCTTAGTGTAATATCTGTCCCCTAGGTTAGTGTAATCAAATGTGTTTTAACTTTTTCATTCAAAAATGTCGATGTTGTGTTTCACTGCCACACAAATTCATTTTCACATCCAACGATAAAGATAGTGTGTTTTAACTTTTAAGTGTCCCACACACTAATGCATGATTAATTTAAAATACGATGACACTCATAATGCACAAGCCGACACTCATAATGCACAAGCCGAATAGGCTTTGAGCAATTTGTGAGAAGCCAAAATGTCAAAGCAAACCCTATGTCCTCCAATCCTTTGGTTGTTTTCGTTGATTTATTTTATCATCTGACTAAAAACAAGAGAGAAAGTGCAAAAGAAGATAAATACTTTAATCTATTTAACCATTTGACTAAAAGCAAGAGGAGTGCAAGAGAACGGAGAGAACCAAGTGAATTCGTTTTTTGTAGAGAGAAATGTGATATATATAGAGTAATGCTAGGAAGACAAAATTTATAGATAAAATTTGCAAGCTAAATAATATGTCACCAATAAAAAAATAAGTACATTAATCAACGCTTAAATAATAATTCAATCATTAACTTTCATGTTACAAAATTTTGTTTGCAAATTTACTCTCCCTAACATGCAACACCGCTGCAAGTAAGAGTAAAGACCATTAAAAAAATAGAGATAACTTAAAATCCTTCCATTGATAAGAAAACAAATGTACAAAAAGAAAGATCCATAAACAAAAGGAAGGGAAGGGGCAAAAAGCTAGGATCTGAAACCATCTCCCCTCCCACATTCATTTGTAATAAACCGTTTTAGTTAAGATTACACTACACTAGCCACTTGACAGTTTACAGGAGGATAAAATCAAAGAATCACCAAATCGAGCCCGAATCAGACACGCATCAGTATCTACTTCACTCGCACGGGCGCACGGTTAGCAGCTGTCGAATAGGGTAGGCAAGCAAGCGCTCGTTGACGAACTTCACCTTTCTCCCTCTTCGGGAGAGTTCAGTTGTGAAGATCAGAGCCAAAAAATTGTTCCCTGAAAAAGTGAATTATAAACCAATATGCTGTACTGTAAAATGCAATCCCCTTTTAACCATCTAACGCCGCTTTTGCTGTCACCACCTGGTTCCCAGTAGTGTGGTAGCTGAGCAGCAGAAAACTATTGTCCCCTTCGGTATTTTCCCCTCTCCAAAGCAACTGTTTATATATGTACAATTTGGTCACCCAGAACTGTTGTGTAGCTCGGCAGCCCTCTGTCTCATCATCTCCATCACAGCAGCTCTTCTTCTTGAATCAGACTGCTGCTGCAGTCTCCTCAAATGCTCCTTTAAATCTCTGATAACATACATTTATTAAATAGAATCAACGATATTACACTTGAAGAGAGGGGGTGTGTGTGTGTGTGTGTGTGTTGGGGAGGGGGGAATTAAGAGAATCATATCTCATAATACGAGACAATTAACCTACGAACCTGCAACGCGGCACATGGCACTCGGATATTTTGCAAGCTCGAGCATGAAGTTGAAGAAGATACCACATTTTCTTGCAGAGAACACATCCTCCAGATGCACGGACTTTGCATTGAATTCCATGGCGGAAAAGTCCCTTCACCTTACGGCAATTGGGGTATTGACATTGTGCAGAACGACATTGTGATGCATGCACCAGAAGATCAAGCATTTTCCGAAGCTGCAAAATTGAAAACAGTGTTATAAAAAATTGACTCTCCATATACATTGAAATCCAAGCCTTTCCTCCACTAATACATCGATGTTAACATCAATCTTCAAGTATGTAAACACAAATATAAAGCACCTGTACAACTCGCATTTGCCTAGCTTCTTTGTTTTGTGCATCGCGATCAGCGATGGATGGATGATTTGTCAACTTATGATGATGATCTACACCGCCTTCCTTCTGATAACAGTTATTGCACACATCGTATTCAGGGCAAACTTCACAACGCCAACCTTGTCCTGTTTCAATGTCAAGATGACATATAGTGCATGTTGTCACAAACGCAGGAGCAGTTGGGTTATGAAGATGGTAAAGGACCATGATAGAGGAATGTTTAGCCCGCCGTAAAGTATCATACTGATAATGATTCCCCTGACAAAGACTGAGAAATGCCTGTCTAGTGTCAAAGAATTCACTCTCAAGAATTTCATCTCTGTCCTTTGTCTCCATAGGTACATCAGTAATTTGAAACTGCAACATATAATGATGTCAGTACTAAGCAGAAATTTTATGAAAAAAGAAGGAAGAGATTGCAGAGCCATGAGAATTGAAGCTAGAACTAAGGACAAATTCACATACAGTACGCAATTCATGTTTTTCCCTCAGATTGATAGGGTGCCTGTCTCTTTCTTCCCGTTTTTGCTCTGCTTCATAACACCTGTTGTCCCATGTAAAGTAATTAGAACAAAACAAATTGGCAAACCTTATTCCAACTGCAATTTAAAAACAGTTCAAAAAAAAATAGCAAAAAGTTGATTATTCAACATTCAGTAAGAAACTTCGAGTGTATAAAAATGCAAGAAAATTTCAGCTTTTCAAAAGAATCAGAACTGAGGATATCTGATCAAAACCACAAATTCTAACAGAACCTTGAACTCAATTAGCAACAATACCAGAACCTTCGTCTCTTCTTCTCCAAACAAACTATAAGCACAATCCAGTGATACATGAACAAGCAATAAAGCACTATACGCAGGAAAATAGGTAATACAAACCAAAATTAATGTAGTATTAGGAAGCTGTGCAGGGGAGGGAGGTAACAGATAAATGCAGGAGTTCAGTATCTTACTTATCACAAAGCTGAAAATTTCTGCATTGAGTGCAGGACCAACGGTTTCCTGATACCATTAGTATACAACAGTGAGAGCATGCGTACTGCAAATGAACCATGATGAAATCCTCCTTCATTGGTGAAATGGTTTCTCCAAGCTGGGTGAACATAAATACAAAAGTCAGCAAAAAAGAAGAAAAAGATTATCTCAAATTCTTTTTTATAATAAATTGTACAAAAGTGTAATTAAGTCTAATAATAATCATCCCATTGAACAGCTTTCATATATTAATTTACAAGAAGACTTCAAAGACTAATTCCTTCATAAGAAGACTGACAACTACAAAAATAAATTGAAACCCTTCAGCTTATTTGTGCTAAAACTCTGAATATCTAACAGAAAATCTACAAAGACTGAAAACAATAATGCAGTTCGAAGACGGTAAGATTACTTTGTGCATTAGTAGCAGATCCTTTGACGCGTTAGCAGAAAGATCAGTCTGACCCGAAGCTTTTAGAGCCCTTTTTGTTATAGTCTTTTTGGTTGATCCTTTCTTATTCTGTTTTCTCCCGTCCTCTTCTTGACGCATCTGATTAATCAGATCCTCGGCTGCACCAGGCCAGTAGTCACCATCAAAATAGGGCAACCTAGCTGCAGTGACTTTGGCCTTGCATTCAGCAGTAGTTACAAAGAAATGGTCATATAGATTAGTGAGTTCAACAACAATGCCTTCCTTGGCAGCTTTCCTAAGCATTGCCAAATACCTGAAACAAAACAGAGATAATAAAATGTAAGAAACGGGATAGTTGATGCTAGAAATAACTGCAACACAATTCACAAAATTGTATAAGCTCACCATTCACGAAGCTTATCAGATTTTGGTGTTTTCTGAATCTCCGGATGACAATATAGAATATAATCTTCACCCTTCAACGGAGGACAAGCCCATATATAGCAGCTTGTAAACCCTCGTAGCTTGCAATATTCAAGGTATCCAATCTGAAAATGGGAACCACTAACTAAGGACGATGGCTCCAAGGAACATATCAAATTAAAGAAAACACAGATAACATGAAGAACAAGATCAATGAAAGCCTAGGACTCACCAAAATTTCATGGTAAACATATGTGCGGAGAGCCTCACCCGTGACCGCTTTAACCTCAGGCCTGAAATACTTAACAGAATCCAAGTACGATAGATAAACACGGCGCTGATTTGGAAACTGGCTTTCAGCTCCAAATTCTTGAACATACATGCCAAATAGGCATACTTCTACACCTTCAATTTTCTGAAACAACAATACAACCTAGAGGGATATATGTAATCAGCATATCGAAACCTTTCCCTTTTAAGCTAAAACAATACAGTTTAACCCTTTTATTATCAGTTAAACCTTAAATATCTTCCTACCTTAGATTTATATGGGAACTCTGTTGGATAATTTTCTTCCTGAAAAATTTCAAGGAACCGCTGCTTTACTTCCAATTTTTTGTCAACCGATGAAACAACCCTGATTACAAGCGATTCTGCCCCAGGAACCTGGTGGAACCAGTACACGGAAAGGAAAAAAATCAGCCAATAATCACATTCAGAGAAAAAAACTTTTCCAGTTTTCCATTTTCGAAAGTCACAATACTCGTAAAAGCACCAGGAAAAGCATCATGTGGTACTCTATCCCTCATACCACTTCAAATACATAATATTATATAAATCACCTCATCATAATTCTTTCCCTGCTGCCTCGCCCTCTCTTGTCTTTCAACCTTCAGTTTCTTAAATAACCGTTGCTCTATGTGGTCACTCAGTATTGTCCTTGGCAAATCTTTGGCCCCCAGAACAGCATTCTGTGGTAAAGGTTTACGCTCTCCCCCTTCAACCTCTTGTATATAACAATTAGGGCAAGTGTATTCGGCTTGCCCACCATCATTCCTTCGGCCATTAAACAAAGCACAAATTTGATGTTGCCAAGCTTCGCATTTGTCACATTGGACCCACTGCATATAAGGAGGTGAAAAACATAAGATTGATTACCTAGAACAATCAAACTATCGAACCCAAAAAGAATTGTTCCAGAAAAAAGAACATACCCACTCTTCGGTCTCTTCGTCATTTTTCTTCTTCTCTAGCCTTGCCTTTGGAATGTTAGTCCCATCAACAACTATCATGTCTCCACGAGCCTCATTATAGCATGGAATACAGAAATAATGTCGTGTGTCACCAGCCCCCATTGTATAGTACATTGCATTGCGCTTGATACGAACACCGCAAGGTGTGCAATATATCGGCGGTGGCTCAAATGTAAGCTTCTCAACTGCACACAACTGACAGGAGTTCTCACTCATTGAATGCTCCATTGCTTGATTCTTCTCTGCCTTTGCCTTGCTCTATGAAAAGAAAAGAAATAAATTAGTCTAAATTCTAAAATCAAACTTCTGGTGAAGCATTCAAACCAGAATCTGTTTTCCTTGAAAATTACACATGCAAAAAAAGGTAAACACCAACAAGAAGAAAATTGTTAGAAACATACATTATGACTTATCAGCAGATAAACAAACCTTTAAAAGGGATACTAAAGAATTCTCTTATACTATCAAGAGAGCGAGAAAGAGACCATGTAACCATAAAGTTAAATTAGCAAGCAGCAAACTCTGACTCTAAATTTTAAAAGTAGATGATGTAATTAAACTACCTGCAATGTTTGTAAACAATTTCAACCACCACGTCAAGATAAAAAAGGATAAAAGTTACTTTCCAAAAAAGTGAAGAATCACACAATAGGCATGAGGAAACTAACAGTTAAAGACATGATGCTTGTGCCACGAAAACACACGGCAAGAGTACGGAACACACAATAGGCATGAGGAAACTTCCTAAACAGAAAAAGACTTGAGGAAGGGAAAGGAAGAACAGGCTAGAAAGAAACGAAGGGAAAATCTTTACTCAAATTAAAGTATCCAGATCTATGCATGTGAGAACTTGTCCTCTTCAGGAGTACTACTATATACTGATTTGTTTATCTTGTCCTCTTCAGGATCTTTACAAAGGACTTGTTTCTTCTATAAATTTATTTTGCCAAGATGCAAAACTTTTATAAACAGCAGAAGGATTTATTACAGGTGGATATGAAACCCACCATCTAAAATACTAGCCAAGACCTGAACCCAAACTCATTTTGCAGCTACTAATACATGGAATGAGAATAATACCTAAACTCGTTCGAGATTGATTATCCTCAACCGAATTAGACATGTCCAACAAAGTTTCAATTGCGTCATAAATTGACATGTTGATTTACCTACAATAGTGAACTAATAGAACACAGAGAAAGAAACTAACAGAATACGGGGAAAGGATGAAGGAGTTCATCCATTGACTAACCTGGCCAACCCACTGCCTGAGACCTGTAATGTGGGCCCTAACCTGCTCTGGAGTGAACAGTTCAGTCATTGATACCCCCTTTATTTTAGGCTTCCCAGACTTTGTTCCAGCTGCATTTTCCACAGTATGCGTAGCATTTTCTTGTTTAGCTGGATAAGTTTCATTCTCAAGTTTGATGTTTTCTTGCTTAGCTAAACCAGCGGGCTCATTATATGAGACAGGTTCACCTTCATGCCTTTGATTGCAGTTATCCTCAACAATATCCTTCATCTCATCAACACTCCCTTGTCCAGAACTTGAAGGAACCTCCATTTTCACTTTTGCAACCTCAGACTTGACTGGCATAGAAATCTCACCATGTTGGTAATCCTGAATCTGTATATCCTGGGGCACATGGGGTTCAATAATCGCAGAAACTTTTACTGCAGAACTAACACTATCAGAAAGAACAGGTTGAGAGGACTGCTCTATTTTCATGCGTTTTATAGAAAGTTGCATATCTTCAGAAGTTTCAACAGCCGGATTTGTCTTCAAAACCAATCTAGCTGAAGCGTCTTCACTATCATAGGCTTTACATGATCCATTTATTGAATTCTGCAAACCAGAATCAGAAACTAGATGATTGTGTGCCTTATTCGGATGTCTCAGCAGATAATTCCTGACAGGCGGGCAAACAGGGCAAGCTGGGTCCTTGCAAGTCTTGTTATGATGAACCAATTTCTTGGTAACATGACAACGAGGATGTGGGCATTGAGGTAAATTGCATGTTACCATGTGCTTTAACAATTGTTGAACAGTTACACAATTACGTTCGCGACATTTGCCTTCGTGGGCTGAACAACACCGAGCATGGCGCAAGAACAAAAGCCATCTCTGTTGATTTTTGAACTGTTTCTCCTGATTGCCATTAGAAGATCCAAAAACAGCACTAGATGAATTGGGGGGACGAGATGTGCTTCTAGATGAAATTGTTTGAACAGCAATTGGTCCTTCTGAAGACAAATTATTACAATGGGCTTCATCTTTCCCAGATATCCTCTGACGGAAATCTTCCTGGAGTTGCTGCTCATGGGACATGTTGACCTGTCTGTGACTCCCATCTTGTGATTGAGGATGCCATTGATCTTGAGCTCCAGCAGAAAGAGGGCTGAAATCATTTTGAGACTCTGCAACCAGTTGGTGAGGATGCAATATCTGTTGCATCGGCTGAGAAGCTTGAGACAACGAAGAGGAGATACCATGTTGCCGGGATGGGATATGCTGCGCATTCCTCAACCGATCATCAACAGGGTGCTGATGGAATTGGTTATGCATCTCTGATAATTGGAACTGTTCTGTACCTTGTTGGTGCATAACTTCACTATGGTGGTCCACACCACGATTTGCTTGACTACTTACATCAGGTGTGATCCGAGAATGACCAAAAGCATCGTTGTTTAACAAATGCTGGGGTTGCTGATTTTGCTGCTTCTGTTGACGTTGTTGGTGACCTAAATGCTGTTGTTGTTGATACTGGTTAGGTTGCTGTTGATACTGATTAGGTTGCTGTTGAAATTGTTGTTGTTGATGAGAATGGAAAATATTCTCTCTTGAAGATAGAGGAGTTTGGAAATTCATCTTTTCCAATTGATCAGGTTGTTGAGGCTTCGCATTAACACTTTGCTGTGCACCATGCATATTTGACTGACTATTTACAAGGGGAGAGATGGCCTTGGACACAGGGTGTCGAACTGACTGAATTCAAATTCTGAGGATTCAACATTGACCCAACAGAGGTCGCAGCACCATAGTAGTTTCCAGGCCCAAAAGAATCAGCACTGCTCATTCCATAGCTATCACCTAGTAAATACATGATTCATTGGTCAAACATTTACCTATTTTATGATATACTACTCAAATAAATCATAACCTTCAAGTGCATAGATAGAGTGATAGACAAACAGTAGATTCATGACATGAATATATACTAGACATGAACATATGTGCATGCACACCAAAAAAGCTAGAGCATACCTTGCATTACTGGCCGCTGATGTTGGTCAAAGTGCTGTTGTAATGGTTTGGAAGAGTTAGCATAGGGTGTTGAGGTCAGATAGCCCTCAGAAGTGCCAGACTCATTAACCACTGGTAAACTGTTTCCAAATCCCAACCCGCCATTTAGAGCCCCATTTGGCAACCCATAAGACTTCTGCTGCATGCCAGACCTTATTCCAGTATTTATTTGGCTGCCAAGGCTATGAAGTATACGGCTATTTTGACCACCAATATGCTGCTGTTGCTGTTGTGGTTGAGTTACCATTAAAGAATCAACAGTACAGAACCCACCTCCACTATTAGAAGAATCCAAATTCATGTAAGACTGGTTCTTACTGCTATTAAACCCAGGGGTAGGAATCATTTGGCTAACCATTCTTTGCACACCCATTGATGATGTGTTCCCTCCAGCACCAACGGACAAACTGGCAGGAGACTGCTGATAACCATTAGATATAGAACCTACAAAAAAAATATCGTAACAGTGGTTTAAAGAATCAGTTTGAGTAATTTAGGGAAAAGATGATACAACTCAGTAGTCTCGGTTTACCATCAGATCTATTGAACGAGCCGCCATGTAAGGCACCAGTGGGCACCAAGTTTCCTGTGTTGACTGTCATAGGCGCTATGCCAGTACTTCCTCTAGTCGTGTTCATAGAAGCATCCATAGAAGAAGTAACCATCATATTTGAATTCCCACTGTGTGACATACCAGGAGTTGGTATCATCACACCAGCAGGAGAGGAAGAATTAACAGCCTGTTGAAACTGTTGGCTTTGATTTGGGGGTCGCTTAATCAAATTGTGCAAACGACTCTCTAACGTTTCCGGGTTCATATAGTCGTCCTGAAATAGGATTTGCACACAACAGAATCATAAGCCTACTAAGACGATATCCATTTCATACACAATAAGAATAAGATCAAGTAAGATCATTATCGCTATATACATGTATGGTGAGCTTCAATAGCTGCTAAGAAATCAAAAGGTTAACCAGCATACTTGAATTCAGAATTAATGTCAAAAAATAATAATTTAATAAACACAACATAAAAATTTTAGCCATTTCAAGAACACTGAGAAAAGAGAGAGAAAAAAAATCTGCCTAAATAGGCTAAAGGGGAAAGTGAATAGAGACAATAAAAAAATTAAAATGAGAAACCTTGTCCTGAGCGTTTTCAATAAACCCTCATCCAATTTTTTAACAATCTCCCAAAACCTCCTCTCATTCATTGGCTGGGGAAGTTGTCGCTGCCGTATAATTTGGCATCTGAAAAAAACAATGGTAGCATCAGTATTTAGGTAAACAATTGCTCAAACATAAAAAGAAGAATCCTATATATGAATTAACAAAAGTACATGCTAGAACAACCATATCATGTTTAAAAAAAAAAAGGTAGTGCTATTCACACACCCCTTTTTGCCTCCCACACACCCTTGTTAAATTTTGTCCATTGATCTCCTTCAATTCTTTCGATCCCCAATGGCCAGAAATTGAGAGGGGTGTGTTAAAGGTAATGGGTGTGTGGATAGCACCACCCTAAAAAAATATATATAAAAAGAGAATCAAAACGCAAAAAGCAGAAGAATAGTTTCTTCATATAAATAAAAAAGTTAATGTCAGTTGATTTTAAAACATGTCTTTTGATTCCATACGCAGGTGGAGATAACCAATATCAATTCTATATAGCAACAATTAATAAGGAATAACATACTTTGCAAAAAACGAACAAATAACAAACAAGTTAGCTGAGACATGCTAACAAGCAACTTACTGCCCATAAAATAATGATAGAACACAAAAGGAAATGCATCTTACATTCTATCCTGCACAATTTGGCGTGCACTGAGAAGTTCAGGATCCATGTTGGACATAACACGAGCAGGCCCACCTAAATTTTGTATTTGGGGAGCAAGGGCATTTCCATTATGCTGGGAGAGCACAGGCATCTGAGATCCTGCCTGATTGGGCACTTGCCCCGATATCGGTCCTGAAGTGTGTGTCTGCACATTCATCTCCTTTATCCTTCACCACGCTGACTGTAACTAGCAAGTACCGCATAACTTAAAAACAAAACCTTTAGAACTGCACTGCCAACTCATGCTTTAGCCATAATAAACTCCTTCCATACTGTACATACAGTGAGAAAACAAAAAAAAAATCATGAGTCTACTTAAGTAGGAGAAACAGCACAGACAAAAACACTAGTTGCGGGGAGGAAAAAAACATAATTACAACATGATGAGCACATTTTTGTATCAATAAGAAACCATTCAAAAATGCAAGTGATTTAACGAGAATCGCTTCCATTTTTCACTTAAACTTTTACTACTTGGGGCTTTTAGTAGCAGGAAACCAAGTAAAAAAATTAAATTGGGCGAGTGCGAATACAATGGAAAACAATTCAGAAAAATGTGAATCAAATTAGTAAACCAATAACAAATCTTTGAAAATGATATTGAGTTTAAGCAAAATCGACCGCCATTTTCACGCAATCATTGCGAATTTCGCTTACTACAATTGAACATCCTAAAGCAGTCAGATAATGAACTTGTAAGAAATGAAAAATACAATCAATCAGCCAAGGGGGCAATTGGGGCCAGGGAAGATTGCAACCTAAACATATGCAATCAAAGGGGCAATTGAGTAATTCAACAATCAACAAATACAAGTTGAATTCCCAATTTCACAATAATCAACCCAATCATACTCAATCAAATCAAATCAAAAATCGAAGCAAACCCTAGCTGCAAGCGAACCTGAAAGATAAGCGATCGGAGATCAAAATTGATAGAGGGCTTTAATAAAGCACGACCAGTACAATCGGCGATGCGAGATAAAGAGAGAAAGAGCGACCAATAGGGATTGGGTTTGAGAGAGACAGAGAGAGAGAGAGTCGGTTCGCACCGTCGCCCCCAAATTATATACCGCACGTGCGAATTGACACGAAGCCGAAAAGGGGTCGAAATCGAATGCGAAATTACGACGAAAGACGAAGGAGGAGGAGAAGAAGGAAGAAGAAAGCGAGAGGCACTCGAAATTTTGGGCCTTTTTGGGGCTCAAATCTCAATTGCTCAATTGCTCAATTGCTCGATTGGGGGGTTTAATTTGCCGAGAAATTATTCTAATTCCAAAATTTAATTCACCAAAAATATATGTTTATGATTTAATTACCAAAATAATTGAATTAAATGACATAAACGAGGACTACAAGAGGGACGCAGATAGATTTTTTTTTTTTTTAATACATCGATATTTTTACATTAATAAGAGAGAGGGTTCAGCAAATTTACATAATAAGCTGTCTAATTTGGTATCGAATTTGCTATCCACCAAATTCGAACTTAAGACTTCTCATTTCTAAGTGAAGAAGAATATTATCAGACCGTAATACTAAAACGCAAATAAATTTAGATAAAGAGAGGAAATGGGTGTTTTTCGAGTGTACTCCATCAAACAAAGCTTTGATTGACATAAGTGCCCCTTTTTTCATCCACATTTCATCAAAAATAATATGTTATCCTTTCATTTTTATCTCTTTTATGGTCTCTCGCTCAATATATAGTGATATTTTTCTTCTCAATATGAGGAGGTGGTCCTCATTCTTCCCGCTTCTAAAACTATGAGTATAAGAAATTTTCTTTTTTAGGAAACAAAACAAATTCAGAAAGCAACTAAAATTTTAAAAGACAGTTTATAAGCATAACTGCATGCTTAGCACGTGTAATCGTGTACTTAAGCACGCAGCCCAGGAGGTTAGTAAGTATAACAATAAATAATAAGTTTATATACTTGGAAATATTTGAATTCATTCACAATAATAATTCAATCTCACATTTCTTCCTCATAAAAAGAGGAACTCATTTCAATTGTGATAATAATGATATGTTTATCTATACTAGAACGTGTACTGAAATGATTATGAATGCTTACTTCCATTGTGTTTAATTTTAGCTCTTGCTTCCATTGTGTTAATAATATTGTTATAATTATTATGATTCCTAACTTATTGCTTCCATTGTGTTAATAATATGATGAGGCTGGCAACTTCAACGAAAGAGAGGTTCTTTCAAAGATTCAACTGGAAGATATCGAATAATATAGACCCTACTTTAAAAGGAGTCTACCAATCAGAGTGTCTTGCTTTAGCAGAGATGTAATGAAAGACATGCCCTGGTTAACAAAGATGTACCAATCAGAGTGTCTTGCTTTAGCAAAAACCTACCAAATCACACTCCCAGTTTCAGTTGGGATGTATCAAACTTGATCTTTCAAAGGAAAGGTACCAAACAAACCCTCCAATTTTGGCTAGAATTTTCCGAACTCTATTTGGTTTGTCCCCCTTTTGATTTTGGAATGTGCTTGAAGTTCACACATACTTGTGTCCCGATACTTAGGCCTGAAAGCTCAAATATACTCAATGACAAGTCTGGAAGACTACCCACAGTTTGAAGTTTTCTTTATGTGCTTTCATATAATGTTTCAATGTTACATCCGTTTTATGTTTTATATTGCATATGTACCTATGTGTACCATTTAGGGCCATCTCTTAGAATTTGGGAGTCACGTGCGAGAATTTTAAATGGGGCCTTCTTTAATATAATCTTTTGAGAAAATACTAACTTTTGTTTTAGACACTATACAAGGGAAATGATAAACACACACCCTTTTAGCTTCTCATACACCTACATTTAATCTTGTCCGCTGTTTTTGTTTGATTTATTCAATTTGATGCCCAAAAAATAAAAATAGCATCCGATAAGCTAAAAACAGTGTGTGAAAATCACCTGCAAATAAACAAATCTATTATTAAAACTAACGTAAACTTTAAAACTAAAGTTCATCATCAATTAAGAAACAGTCAAGTCAAATTCATAATACTAAAAAGCATAAAACATCTAAATTTACTTTGCCAATTCAATCAACAATCACATTATAATATATGTTAAATGCCTTACATGAATCAAATTGTTAGCACTTAAATCCAAGTAATTGAATGATCTCATTTACTTCAGGATTTACTTAAAGTGGTATTATGAGTTATGGACATATGAGAGGAACTAATCCAATATTCTTTTCCCTATTAGATTATTTTCTATTTATTTATTATTGAAGAAATTTTATATCATAATATCTATGAGTTGAAAAAAACATTGGTGGCTTGTTCAATTAGGCCCTGTGCAATGGCTCATATTGCTCATCCTCAAAGCTGACACTGATTCCCATGTGGTTGTTATAAATACATGTTGAGTGAACATGTGGTTCATTCCAATCTTGAAACCAAAGTTTTCGAGCATGCCATTGAAAAACCTGGGGTTTTTCTAAAGAAGCGCACCAACCATGTTGAGAACTTTTGATCTCCATGATGTAGATCTATTAAACAAACTATGCCCCTAGAAGTTATAGTTCTAGCTATAATGCTTGTAAATTCTATTCAAATCACTAATTCATGTATTGGTTATGTACAAAATGTTGAACATTGCTAAACTCGATTTCATTGCTTTGGAGGTATCTAGAAGAAACTACCTCAAGTGGATTCATGATGTGAAACTCGACCATATTGCAAAGGATATTAAGCAATCATCTAAGCTGAGAACGAGACAATTGAAGCTGAGAAGGCGACTGCAACGATCTTTGTCCGCTGCCACATGCATGTTGCATTACAAATTAATACATGGCGAAAGAAAACCCTCAAACTCAAACTCTCTGGCAAGCATTAGCTAATCGTTTAGGTCACTAGAAGTTGATCACTTTGCCTGAAGCTAGACACGATTGGATTAATCTGAGATATAGGATTATAAGTCTATGAATGATTATAACTCTGAAATATACAGAATCTAATCATTGCTCAAGTATTGTGAAATTGAGTTTACTGAAGAGAATATTATGGAAAAGACCTACTCAACCTTCAATTTTTCAAATATTGTTTTGTAACAACAATATCGAGCACAAACGTTTACTAAATTCTCGAATATCATATATGTCTTGTTGATTGCTGAAAAGAACAATCAATTGCTAATGAAGAATTATCAAGTCTGACCCACTAGCACTAGAGTTGATCCTGAAGCACATGCAATTACTTTATATAATTATAAATGCCATCAAAGGCAGAGATGACATAGCAAGGACCTTAAAACCAAGCTTAGGGAGACATAACTTTGGCTAGAAGAGATGAGATGATCGTAGGCATGATTACTTTGCTCTCAAAGCCCAAAACCTTCAAAAGTAAACCTAAAACTGCCAAAAATCCTCCTGACCTTGACATGTGCTACAATTATAGGTTGTCGTACTAGGCTCATGTGTGTTGTGCTCTTAAGAAGGTCATGGAGGACTATCACACAAAGAAGAAAGATAGAATGACTAACTTCACAAAAGACAAACTATGCCCAAGTCGAGAATCATGCAAATACAACATTGAAGACATCTGACATCTTAGTTTAGTAGGGAGTGCTTGATGTTACGTAGTTAGGACATAGAGCTAGGGCCCTTTTTGGTTTAATTTGTGAACAAGTTTATGTTTCTGGATTTTGATTTGGTGATTGTTTCATTTGGTTTTAAGTTTGGATATATGAATGAATGTATGTTTTCTCAAATATGTGATTGATTGAATATCAAGTTTTAATTTCTTGTTCATGTGACAAATTCAATTAATTTATCTTTAGATGTGTGTTTAGGCAAGTTTATTATTTGGTTGATAGTCTACGACGCGTACCATAGTGCCTAAGCGTAAGTACTTTACTAACTTTATACCTAAGTTGACACATTTGACAATGCTCTCAGGTTCATCTAACTTGATTGAGGGACATAACACTGTGCTCCTAAGGTTGTCCAATGGTATTTAATTCACCATTAAAGAGGTCTTATATTTTCCTCGTTCTAGTAGAACGTTGTAGAGCTTTAAGGATATTCGAGATAATGATTATCATGCTAAAACCACTAATGAGAATGGAGTGGATTATCTTTGCATAACTTTCTTTGAATATGGTAGTAAGTATATTCTACATAAGATGGAATGCCTTCCGAACAACCATTCAGGTTATAGAGGCCCACTATGTGGCCGGCTTGCCCCAATTACTATGTTTCCTAGTCTTTACTCTCTTTGGCATGATCGTTAAGACACTTAAGTTATAGTATGATCTGTCGTATACTTGGTTCTTCACATGGGCATCTCTTTATTTAAAATAACAACCTTGTGCGTTCAAGCACACCATGCCAAAGCTTGCTTTTTGGGAAAATTAAATTCTAGATAATCCCCTACAAAGATTACTACTAATCTTTCATCTTTTCTGCAAGAATACAAGGGGAATTTGTGACTAATCCAACCATCCTGCCAACCATTTAGATACTTTATGGTTTTGGTTGATGCATCGACAAGATGACCACATATTTTCTTGTTGTCCACAAGAAACACTGCATTGCCAAGCTCCTAGTGCAAAGTATCAAACTACAGGCTCACAAATCCATTTTACCCCTACAACAGGCTTTCCACTTAGTCTATTCACCAGTTTCCAAGTGCTATTCTTTTCAATCATTGAGATTTCTCTAGCATTGCTTTATTCCAAGCTTGATCTTGTGAGGCATCTTTGGAGCTTTCTGGATCAATCACATTGAGTTTACATTGAATGAACACATCTTCCAATTTTCTTCACTTCTTTGGAGTGCATTCATAAGTTTCAGTGAGTTTTTTTTTTTCTTTTTAAGACTTGTCCCAAAATGACGTTGTTGATTTCACTTGAACTTCTTGCATTTGCAAGACTTGGCTCACTTTCAGTATCCACAGAGTGAGAGGTCACACCAGACACATTTGCACTTGAACTTTCTCCTATAAAGTTGATCTGATTGGATAACACTGAAGAGTTTACGTTGAAAACTTTTGACGACTATTGCATTTCTCTGGGTATTGAAGTTGAACATCTAGTTCCCCTTGTTCACACCCAAAATGGTCTAGCATGAGCTTTCGTTAAGCGATTCCAAAAGTTGCAAGGTTCTTGGTCATGCACACCAAGCTACATGTTTATGCTTAGGGCTATACAATCTTACATGCAACCATGTTAGTTCGCTTGTAACTCGTTGCCACCCAATCTTATTCTGTGTTATAGTTGGTTACTGCTTGATATCTCGCACTTAGACAGTTCTAAAGGACGTCAAGTTAACGTCGAGCAAGGATGTGCCAACCTTAAAAGACAGTTGTCCACCTCTACAAGGCCACTAGTACCTCGACAGTAGCTAATCACACGTACCTACCTTGAAGCGTGGGAGACCCATTTTGTTCAAAGGATTCACATCCTAGGAAGGGGAAACAAACAATACAGACTAGTCAAACTAGTTCAAAATCATATCACTATCTCATCTGGTCCATCACATGAGGATATTCTAGATTATGGTAGTATCTTAGATGATACACAACCACCTCCTGAGAATCAAGAGATTTCGGTCCATTTTGCTAGCTTGGATGTGTTTGGATTAGAATGAGGTTACCGTTGATGATGCCTTTGCATTTACAATGGCTACCAAGATTCTGATTAGCGATGGCATCAAACCTCATTTCATTGACGAATGTCGATGTAGAACCAATTGGCCAAAATGGAAGAAAGCAATTCAAGTTAAACTTGATTCCTTAGTGAAGCATAAAGTTTTTGGACATGTTGTTCTAACTCCACCTAATGTGAAGCATGTTAGTTATAAGTGGGTGTGGATGAGAATAATAAAATAGTGTGTTACAAAGTACGCCTTGTGGCGCAAGGCTTCTCTTAACGCCCTAGAATTTACTATGGGTATACTAATTATCTTGTAATTGCAACTTTCCACTACCTTTTTAGTCTGGTAGCTTTTGAAACACTAAATATGTCGCTCATGGACTTGATCGCTACGTATCTTTATGGGGACCTAGATGCAGATATCTACATGAAAGTTCTAAAAGGACTTGCATGGACCGGCTCAAATAATTCTCGACCATAGAACACTCTCACTATTATATTGAGACGTTCGCTTTAACTCACTTTTTCTTCTTAAAACTACTGGATTATCGCAACAAGGTTTTTGTGAGATTTTTCTTTTGATATGTGCCTTTACTATGAGACTCTCTTGTTAGAAACTATTGTACATGCAAAAGCTAAAGACAACAACCATTATCTCATAATGATGACGACCTAATGCGATTACTTCTTAAGTTCTTCATACTTAAGGGAGAGTGTTGTAAATAGTATTACTAATTAGGAATGTGATTGTGTAAATGATAGGAGCATATTCATGCGACTTAATTAACTTGTTCTCATGCATTTATGTTGTGTTTCCTTAGTTATTTTAGTGTTTAAAGCCACTTTTGTGTATTTTCAGATTATAAGGCCAAAGTGTGCAAGAAAATGCAAATTAGAGCCTTTTGGAGCAAAAGAGGAATGAATGAGTTGAAGACTTGAAGAAACGATGAATTCCTACTCCAACGATGAATTCCTACCAAAACGAGGATTCCTACTCAAACAAGGATTCCTACTTGAAGTAGGAAAGTTAACCCCTAGGTTTCCCGTTTTGGTAACCTTTCCTAATCTTAAACGTCCGTATTTTCTAACCACTTTGAAGGCCTGCACTTTAGACACACAAAACGAAGGCCCTAGGGCCCTTAAAACCCTTTGCTGTGCCCAATCCCTTTCTTTCCTTCCCTTGCCGTGCAAGGGGGGGTATTTAGGTCCAATGTTATGCACTTAAACCCTATTTCCCTCTCCTAACCTAAACCCTAGCCGCACCTTGCAGCCATCCCCTTTAATTTCTTATTTAATTCCCTAATTCTAGCAGCCTTTAATTTAATTTTAGTTAATAAAAATAACTTAGGGTTTTATTTTTCTGAAACCCTATATAAACTAAAGCCTAGCTGAACCCTAAGGAGCTATCATTCATTCTTTTCATATTTTCAGCCACAAAACCTCTCAGCCGCAAGAACCCTTCCATCTTCTCCCTTTGCCGCAACCTTCTCCATCAATTCCAGCCACCATCCAACCTTGCCGCAACCTTCCCACCATTGCAGCCACCATTCCCACCTCCATACATCATCCCACCACCTTGCCGCACCACCATACCTCCCTAAATCCATTCCCAACCCAAAATAACATCCAAAAACCACCCACACCATCTCTGCCGTAGCAAGAAGAAAGGAGAAAGAGGAGCTTAAACGTGCAGAAATTCAAGTGGATTCCTTGGGCGTTTTAGGTGTACTCAATCTTGTGTTCTTTATGTTTAATTTCAATTTTGTTTCTCTTTCTGTGAACATGAGAGGCTAAACCCCTAGTTAGCTAGGGGGTGATTCGAAACCATGTTTATGCTTGCAATATGAATTGATTACCTTTGGTTGGAATTTCATGAATTGTGGATTCAATTTGTTTAACTGCTTGATTGATAACTTATTTGTGTATGTTTATTGAGAGTGCACGCTTAGTTTTCATGCATGAATATGACGCTAGAATATAAGTGAGTTTCACCTAATAGTTACAAACTTATATTCACAAGTAGTGAAGGTTGCTTATAAACAATCGCGTTAAATGAATTCTTGGCACTAGTTTCATGCTCATCATAGTAACGAATGCCTCGTCAACACTTATAGTTTTCATGTTGCTTAATGATCTTTGAATGTATCTTTATTGTGCTTTTCACGTAAAGGACTTTTGGAGAATGTTTTGAATTGTGTATGCGCTGTCCTATCCAATTCATTAACTTAAGGAGACCTTGAAGGTTAATTTAAGCGGACCTAATTAACCCGGGGTGTTGAGTTTCATGATTCATCAAAAGACCAACTAAAAATCATCTTACATGCAAGTGTGACATGTGTGGAGAAGAACCTTCTAGCTAGCATTCCATCCATATTTTCATCAAATTCGTATTTACATTCTGCCCTTATTACAATCTGTGCATTTTATTTAAATTCGTCAAAAACTCAATCCCCCTTTACTTTAGTGTTCAATTTAGTTAGAAAGTGTCTTAGTTTGTGTTTCTAAGTGTTTTGATTCAATTTATTACCCAAATTCGTCCAAATTAGTCAAAGTGCTCAAAACTGCCCAAATTGTGTTTTTAAGGCAGTTTTGAGTGTTTGGTTTGTCTTAGTGTTTTAAGTGTTTAGTTTTGCATTCTTTGAGTCTAGTTTAGTGTTTTAACCTTTGTTTTACATTTTTGAGTCAGTTTCCAAGTGATTTAGCAATCCCTCCTAATCCCCAGTTAAGAACGATCCCTACTTATACATATACTACAATTGTCAAAAGAGGGTTTTAATTTGTGTGCTTATATAATTCGCATCAGTAAACTTAAAGTATAATCCCAATAGGATTAGAGATCTAATCTTCATAGGTTGTATTACTTGAAAAGCCAAAAGGTCTACCATGATTAATATAAATAAGGGTACAAGGCCAAAGGGTAAAGAACAATTCTTCTACACGTGAGTTCTTCTCTCTCTGCCGTCCCCCACCTCTATCCACTTTCAAAATATAGTTTACAACACAACCATTCATTAAGCTCCCGTTTACAATAAAACCGTCAGATTAGTCTGGCAAGCATTAATTCTCCTTGGGGAAGAAATTGTTCCTTGAAAGTGTCCGTTTACTCCTTTTATATGTTGAAACTTGGAGATTTTATTAACCAAACTGGGGACTTGGATTTGGATACGATTTTCTGGTCGATTCCAATAACTAGACCATGTGCATGTCAACAATTTCAACATTTCCAAATTTGTCATTTTTTCTTTTTCCGGATCATGAATGAACGAAGAACCTTTACGTAGAACATCAAATTTCCTTTCCCAAAATAGAAACGAATGAAAAAAAAACAAACCAGTCTGCCACAAGGGCAAAAGGGGAAAGAAAAGACGCTTAACCAAATGTGGGACAACAGAAGGCCACAACAAAAGCCAAAGGAGACTACCTCATCATAAAAAGGTCAAAGAAACTAAATGGCTGTATTAATAGAGAAGTTACCAACATTAGCTGATTGCCATATGAATTGGTAAGGAAATTTACATGGGAAAGGCCTGGGCAGACAGACGAATACAGTTTTAACAAACAAGGAAAATACAACACTCCCACCCTCCTACCCTTCCATAAATACCCTTAATTTCAAGTCAAAATTCCAAGAATGGCATGCTCCCATGGATATCCAATATCCGGGCATGACAGAAGGTTAATGCAACCACACATTTTACCAAATCTCCCGTCGTGTCATAGGAATAGTTTACCGCACCTCTTTCCAATGAGTTGTCTGCAAGACGAAACATGAGGGGCAAGAAGATCAATTGTATGTTGCAGGTCTAGGTTTAGGTGGTATATAAAAAGAATTCCCACAGTCGATTGGCGTATGCATCAGTGGATTCCACCTATCAAATATCAATCGGCCTCCTCGGCCAATTCTTCCTCGGGATTTATAAGGTGGTGTGGCTGCTCCATTTGTTACTGAAGAATCTGATGGTGGTACAATGCCTGCTGCTGCCAACTTCTCTGGAACTAGAGGTCTTGTAAATAACAAAACTGGCTCAAGGGGATCCTACATGACGCCCATCCAACAGTTAAAATTCACTACTGAAACTCATATTCCGACAAAAAAGAGAACAATTCAAACCTAATCTACAATGCGAATTAATTTCGCTAAAATTCCCTAACAAACTACCACATATTGAATTAATGACAATGACAAAACTTCAGCAATTACTTATTGATATATCTGCCTAGAAGAGAGAAAAAACAAGAAAGGAATGGAGGTAATGGTACAGCAGATAGGTAATCTGATTCACAAAAAGCCAAAGAAAGTACCATTTTATGAAGCCACCCTTGTGGTGCATGCCGCCGCCTAAACTCTTGCTTCATGGTTCCTGTAGAAGCCATAATTATGTTCGAATCTGTTAAAGGCGGATTCGGTATTGCAGGAGGCCGCGTGCGGGGCCGACCATTTGAAACATCATCTGAATCAACAAATTCATCCTCGCTTGAACCAAATTTGCAAGATACAGGTTGAAATCCAGGAAGCGCCAAGCTATCTTCCAGGAGCTCAGTTTCATGCTGAATAAGTCATGCACCAATCAGCAACATATATTAAATTTAAACCATTACGAATTACATAGCGCAGAAGATTTACTGAAATATATGCATGATGGAAGGCACAACAAAAAGTAACCAGCAACAAAGTTTTCCTTTTCCTTCACCTTTTTCTACCTTCTTTTCTTTCACTTACTTTTTTTTTCTTTTGAGATGAAAGAGTATTTCATAAAGAAAATAAAAGGGAAAAGCTTTGAGCTTCAGAGGGAAAAGCTTGAGTTTCATAGGACCATGTAACTGTTTCGAGTATCAACTACTAATTCCAGCGTCCTCGCTTACAATAAAAGAAAAAGGTACAAGGAATTGACAGACAAATATCCAGAATAGGAAAAAATAAACTAATGGCATAAACCAACAATTGAAACATCACACACCCCCAAAAGATAGACCGATTCCAAATAAAAATTGAGATAAAAAGTCAAACGGAATGAGGAGATTGTCAAGGCCAATATTAAAAAGAAAGCTGCTGGGGATTTGCTATCGTTAAAGCAAACCAAGAGAGTAACAAGCCCTGTGCATACCTTGTACTTCATTTGGATTATTTGAAGACTAACTTCATTCTCCATGACTTCCCTCTTTTTCTCTTCTCTCTGCACACAAATTATACAGAAGCAACCAGCTGCAGTGAGGACAAATTCATGGCAAGATGAATATAACACCACTCAAGGAAACTTTAAACACTTCAATAAAAGCACCTTGATTAAAGCCTCTACTATGGTCTTGGCTTGCTCGAGGTTGCGCCTAACCTGAGAATAGTCAATTCCAAAAGAAAAGCCTGTGACTGTGATTGTCAAATACATATGCAACTGGAAAAAAGAAATTATTGAAAAAGCAATACCAACCTGGCGAAGCTTTTCAAATGACTGCACATTATTTTCCCTTCTTTGCATCTAAGAAAAAGACAAACAATTAGAAGAGATATTTAAGAAATGTGTATAAACAAAAACATTTCATTAACTAAAAGACGTCGCCTGAGGAAAAAAGAAAAACACAATCAAGTTTGTATTGTACCCTTCTTGTGTGCAGTCTGTGGGTTTTCTCCCTTGGTCTAAAGACATTGTACGGGTTGGTGTCATTAACCGGTGGAGGAGGCTGTAACAAAAATGTAGATGAGAATCATGATGTTAAAGTTTTATCACAACGATGAATAAATAATATGCAAGGACATATAGGCAGGTGACATAATAAGCACATAATCAAGAATTAAACCTAACCTGCAAACGCCGCAAAACAGGCTTCTGCCAACGTTCACGCTGCCAAAATTGAGTGAAAAGAATACATATCATCAGAAATATTAAAAAACGAACAATAATTAGACTGGACTGAACCACAACTTATTGTGTATATCATGCAAATCAGTGAATATCAGCTGCTTGTTCAATAATGTTGATTACTCTCCAACCCACAAGGAACAGAACTCACTGCATATTAAACATTTCTTGTTGACTAATTCATTTCCAAACAACGTCATATATCCTTTAACCTCTAAAGCTTGGTAGATAATACATACCTTCTCTTTCCAATAATTATAAACAGACTGGATAACAGCATATCTGAGAGACTGAGATTGAAGAGCCTACAGCAAAAGGAGACAAAATTCTATTAACTTCGAGAAATGATTCAACACGGCCAAAAGTTAGAAAAAATATACACTTAAAATGCAACCATAAAAGATCACTTGTAAACAGATAAATACAACTAGTAGCTTTAATAAAAGACGACCAGAAATTATCTTTTAGCATCTTCATAAATAGGGAGAACGGCAACCTTTTCTGTTTAGGAACATGATACTACGTACCTCAGTCTCATTTAGTAAGACCTAACAAGAACCAAATTGACAAATATAAATGAACGATGCCACCAGCAGTTGGATATAGCTAATGAATGAAAAATAACTTTTAACATCATGCATCAATATTGGTCAATTCATTAGGAAAAAGAAATCAAAACGCACATCACCTCACTAGCAACATCAAGCTGTAGAAGTACAGGGATTGGTGAAGCAAGAGTAGGAGTTATAACTCCTGCTCTTTCTCGTGCCTTATGGTCCAAAACCTCCAACTTAAAAAGAAGACTTTCAAGCCTGTAAGTGTGAGAATACCTTAATGATCAAAATACCATCATCGATCGAAGAATAAAGAAAACTTGATTAAAGCTACGTCAAGATTCAATCCTGGAGGCTTGATTCTCGACATATTCCTCAACATCAATTTTTTTTTAAACTGCGCTTATCAAATTACATTCTAAATAGAAATGAAGAGTTAGAATGTGATTAATTGCTGCTGCTTTCGTACAAGCTAATTCTATTGTCCTAAATTACTTGATAAAAATGGGGACGTAAAGGGTAGGCAAAGTGATTACTTTTCAGGTGCAAGAACCTTCTTCTCTTTGTTCAACTCATACAGCCAGTCCTCATCCTCATTGTCTAGGTCATACTCCACAAACTCTCCGAGCTCGGCCCGAGCTGCAAAACCATCGAAAAAATCGTCAGCAACGTAATACTAACAACAAAATGGCGGTAACAAACGAGTGTGAAGTTGAAAACAAAACCTCCTCTCGCGCGAAGGTAGGAATTGGGCTGGCCAAAAGTGCGAGAATAGTCCCTCTCATAAGTGTCAACAACAACAAACTGAGGAGTGGGTATTTCAGGGATGTATTTCTTGGGCGCGGCGGGGGCCGGGGGCGCCTCCGGTTCAGCCGGGGGATCGGCGGCGAGGCGGAAGAGCTGAGAATTGCGGGTGGAAGTTGGGGTGTCATCATCTTCGAAATCCTTGACGGATTTGACAATGGGGAGCTTCTTGTGGATATCAACAGGGCGAGGCCTGAATGAAAGTCTACTCATTTCGACCTCTGTTCATATCTCTTCAACCCCTTTAGGGTTCCGGGAAAGAGCGAACCAGGCAGCGGGGGATTATTAGGGAAAATTAGGGTTTCGAATTGGGAATTGAATGAAGAATTGGGATGGATCAAAGGGTTTGTTCTGGTGTTGGAGACGAACACAACACCACTGCTTGGATTGGATGATTGGATTGGAATTGGGTTCAAATGTTTTGGGCCCAATTTTGACTTGAAAATTCCCGTACATTGAGGCCCAATCATAGCTTTCAGATTTACTACAATCCTTTTGTGGGTCCATTATTGTCATTTGACATTTTAAGCAAAGCATTGGTTCCCCCCACACACCACATTAACATTTTTAACATAAAGTTAGCGGACTTAACGACATGTGCTAATGTTGGACACAAAAAATGATTTAGAGGGCAAGTTGTGACAAAACGATTTTCAAGGGGCAATTGAGGACTCAAAACACTTTCAGGGGTAATTAAGCCTTCAATTTTTTAAGTTTGATTGAGTTTTAAGTTAGAGTGTTGCTACCACTTAGTCCTATGGTTTAGTGATATTCCTCTTTACTTGCAAGTGAGAGGTCTTAAGTTCGACTCTCACCAAATGTGAATTTGAATCACATTATTGCTACCCGCTAGTGTAGAAAATATGTTTGTTAAAAAAATGAAAGTATATTTAGTTTTTCAAAATTTCTTTTTTGTGACCCAATTAATGTAAATTTTTTATTACGCCACTGATTGATTGAGATTGATCTCCTTGTTGGCATTGGTGACACTGAAACAAAATAATACAGACAGATCTGTCTTTTCTTGGTCCTATTATATATGATGCCCTAGAGATGTTGAATGAGATCCCACAAGTTATGGTGGCTCAAGTTATTGCCTTATTTCAATTATTTTTTTCTTTTCAGTTTTCGGAGAGAGAGGGAGAGACGCGGGAAAAAAATAGATGTGCACAAGGAGAAAAGTAATGTGTGATTGTCATTTTCCATCCTAAGATTTGTATTGGTATTGGTGGTACAACATGACTCAAGAGCTCGATTGGGAGTATCACTTGACCTCCCATGTCATTCTCCAACAGAACACACGAAAACCAAGAGATCGAAGACAACCGAAAAACCAGAAATAGACAAGAACAAAGCTTAGGCATAACCACCTGAACAGGTGAAAGACAAATAACTGTGTTTTGAACTCATTTGGTTAGAACTGCTGACTAACATTTATATACATTAAATGGTTCACAAACAGCAAATATACAAGTGTTAAATATGAAGTAACCTATATCTCTATACTCTACAACTTTTTCTGTAGAAGTTACCTATCCAGTATCTACCACAAGAATCGAAATTCCATCTTTTGCATTGTGCAAGACATCATCACAAGGGGAAAGGTTGGCTTCGGCTTCGGGCATTCTCAATGCTATTTTTTTGTCGCGAGAGTTCAAAAGCAAAATGCATCGAACAAGTGACCCGTTTCTCACTCCATTCGAAACTCAATCCCTTCAAAACTGTGGTAAAGAAGCTCAACTCTCTACCTATTTGCCACACTCCATTGTATCACACATCTCGTGATCTCTGTAACAAGTCTTCTGTCTACTAGTGTTGTACGAAATTCAATCCTTCAAACAAGTGTGCTCCGCCACTGAGTTATTTGATGTTACTTCGTTGCAGAACATACCTACATCCCCACCCGTGCTCCTTTCCTAATTCTATTGCAGACAACAAAATCTGCAACAAATTATCCGCATCGTCTTTGCGAGCCAGTTCCAGGTTTGTCTGTATGAGAGGAACAGTAGGATTGTTCCAACGAACTGCCCGTGTTCCACTGCTGCTTTTAGTTTGCTGGTTTTGCCGCAAAGGGGCATCTGAACTGCTTCCGACTATATGCACTATTCCTTCATCACAGTCAGCATGTATAACACTATCCAAACGGATTTCAGATTCAATTACCCAGTCAAGGTCAGCAGGAACACCTCGAAATTCAGGCTTGCCTAAGTCCACCAGACTTGAGCAGCTAACAATCAATACAAGCCTCTGTGTAATGATGACAAATTTACCAGCTTGTCTAAGTTCCTTGCACAAGACTAAAATCTCATCCTTGAGCCTCAAACTATCATCCGCCTCAACAAGCACTGAAGTTCCAACAGCATCTTCCCAAGAATAAGGTCTTAAGGGGAGTTCCCTGCTTAAAGGCCTTGGAAGACGGACTCTTAAGCGCTGTTGTCCCATTTGATAGAGCCTACTCCGATTTCTGATACTCAGTGCAGTTTTTCCGGTAACTTCAAGAATACTAGCAGCTGGTTTTGCTACTAGTCCTGTAATACCTAAAGCTATGCCTGCACCATAGACATGAAAAGCATTAAAAGCGTTGTCAAGAGTCAGGCAACCAAATCTTATCATGTGGATCTAAAGGTGATAGCATCGTTTCTTCCATGAGTGAGCTGCATATCAACATGAAGGTAAAGAAGAAACGCAATGATTACTGCATTCTACTATCGAATACCTGAAAGGACACCAGGAAGGCCATGTTTCTCAGCTCCTTTAATTGGTGATTGAAGAAGACCTGTGAGTCCCTCAAATACTCCATTTATCACACCTTTAGAATGAGTAGCAATACCACTCTGCTGCTGTTCCACTTCTGAAACAGCCTGGTCGTCAAATGTAAATGCCACGATTCCCTACAAATAGAAACCCAATTAATAATGAAAAGATGAAAATAATCTATCGGCCACCAGGATGTTGTCGACATGCAGTTACCTTGTGCGCAGCTTTGCTGAATTGCGTGGCAGCATCACTTATAGCGTAGACAGTGTTACTTAAAAGACTGGTGGTGCCTTGTGCCATGCCAGTAATTAGTCCAGTGGGGCTCTACACAAAAGAAAAAAAACATTATTATACTGATAAATAGGACAGTTGCAAAACATATAAAAATAAACTTACCAGAAAAATGCTCCTAGCAGGCACTGACAAGAAATCTCTAATGCCAAGCCCCATACTCCTTGCAAATCCCATGGGATTGCCTATAACACCAGCAGAACCAAACACCTGGAAATATACAGCATAATAAGAGCAAGTTAAACATCATACTGAAATTGTTATAAGCCCATCAGTCAATTTATGTTCTAATGGAGGAAAGACAGAAAATTCATTGCAGGACTCATGTACAATAATATCTATTAGGTAATTCACGGCATGATGTGCTATATAACATGTAGACAAAAGCTAAAAAAGTAAAAAGACAGCAAGATACATTGAGGACTATAAATAAGGCATTACTTAGAACCGGCAGCTCTCCAACAAGAAAAGAAAGCAAACAAATAACTGCCACTAGAATCAGGGGGTGTCAATGTGATTAACCTGTTTAACTAACCAAATGTGACTCACAGTATAAAGTTTCTCGCTATTACCAAGTCTCAAGAACCTTAGTAGAAAAGTTTTCATACTTACCTTATACATCTCATGAAGAAGTTGCCGAGTATAATGCCTTACAAGGATCTCTTGAAGGGACTCTGAACTAGCAATTTGATGTGTAATTGTCAGCTGCTTGAGATGAATTCGTGCACCCTCAACATCAGCAAGAGCCATAAGACCTCTCTGTAAGGCAACCAAATATGATTTCACATGTTTTTTGAATCATAGGATAGAGTTGCCGCTGTTAGATGTGGGTGTTTGTGTGTCTCTGTATCAAATGCATATATTCTTCTTACATGAAATCTTCACATTCATTACCTCAACCTTTGCCTGTGATTCGATGCATGCGCAAAGTTCCGACAAAATATTTTCAAACTTCCATTTTATGTGATTACATTATCTACTTTGTAAAGCTTCTCTTAGGACATCAGTATACTACTTACATGGATAACAGATTCTCCTGCGGTAAGAATCCCATTTCTAAGCATCCACGGAGCACTGGAAAAGCTGTGCAGACAAAATTCATAGCTTGTCAAATGGCAACTTTTAATACAAAACTAAGTACACAGAGGCATTTTCTTATCGATTAACCAGTCACCTTAAGGTCAAGTTGATGGGGCCAAAATCAAACACTTCGACAAAGATCTTTTTCTGTCTTCTAGCCAATAGGTAAATTTGCTGCCATGGAGCTCCAATTGGAACAATTGAAGGTAGAGAGAGTCTCGGTTTGTGGTTTTCAGTAGAAACAGGAGCAGTCATTAAGTGAAGTTGTTTCTCTGTTGCAAAGGAATCCATTAAACCTGAGTCATTGATACGAGAGCGCAGGAATGGATCCGACAATGGAAAAACTCTACTCTGGAACCTTGAAGTAACATTTTTTATGAAGTCAAACAGGCTTAATATCAATTCTTGCTCCAGCTCAAGACAGAAGTCAGCAACTCTGCACACATTAAACAGAGAAAAATAAGCACTGAAAGCTAATAAGTTATCATAACTCTTTTAAATGCAGGTATGCATACCTTAAGCTGATATATTCAAACGAAACCAATGAGACATCTTTCTTTCTCCATTTTGATACAGCAAGGTAGAAAACAGGTTCGAAAGAGCTGTGAGAAGTCCTTTGAAGCAGTCTTTCACTTATTGGTTTCATGACGTCATCCTTAATTGCATGGCCAATTGGATTGCTTTTATAATCACGGTCAAAGGACAGGATAACAGGATATGGGGTAGAACGCAGTTGGTTATCAATTTGCAATGATGTGATTTGCAAGGTAAGCTTTTGTTGATCCAAACTCTGTACAAGATCAATTGTAATGTTCTTTGCACAAGCAAAAATCAATTCCTACAAGAGAAACAACAGATGAACATAGTCTGAATAAGCTCCATGGAACCTGAGTAGAAGATGTGATTTCGCAATTTTACCTACCTGTGGATGAATATTGATCATGGAGATACCAATGTGTTGAATAACAATTGAAATTCTTTCCATGAAACCTACAACCTTGTCCTGTTTCTGTTCATGTTTCCCTTTCTCTCTCAAGTGCGGAACAGTTGGATTCGTCATGTCACTCACAACATGGTAACTTGAATCAATAACATGGAGGACCTGCAATAAAGGAAGGTAATCACAAAGCTCATAAAGATAAGTTCTGATAGTTCGTGGCATGTGCCAAGGTAATAGAAATGAACCTTAGTTGCTCCCTCAGCATGGACGGATAAATGCAATGT